AAAAAAAAAAAAAAAAAAAAAAAAAAAAAAAAAAAAGATGGAGGATAAACCACAAGCTGGGGGTGTTCATGAGGACCACCTACAATTTCCTTAATTCAAAGACACCCAGATTTCTCGACCATCCATGAAACACACACACACAAGATGCACATGTTAAGGTGTTCATACATGTTAACAAGCATCACCTAGAGTGATGATCCCTGGGGCAAGAGGGGGAAAAAGCACTGAGGGAGGATGTTAAACTTCAGTCTCACCCATAGTGTTTTGTCTTAGGTTTTTTTGACGCAAGATGAATGTTTGGAAAAGCATCACAATTCCAAAACCACCAACACTCAGAAAAATATGCACCCAAAGGGGGGAAGAAAACCAGTAACACATGTGATGCTTCTTACAACCGGAATCTGTATTAAATAGTTCTGTTTGTACTTAATCCTTACTACTGCTTCAGAAAAACACTGCTGGGGGCTGACATAATGGATAAGGAAACTGAGGTACAGAGAGGCCACAACTTGCCCAAGGCCAAACAGCTAGGAAATGGTGAAGCCGGAATTTAAACCCTGTAAAGCCAGCGAGTTAAGCATGAGGCCATGCTCCTGAATTTGGATCAGGCTCTAGCTAGCACCTCTAACGACAATGTAATTGTCGGCTTGATGGCCCAAAACCCCAAAATCAAAGACAGAAACTGGGGGGAACAATCAGCAGGACAGGCCAGCAGTGAAGAGCAGCCAGGTAAGCACAAAGGCATGGCACCAGGCACAGCGCTGGCTCCACACTTGAAAGATGGACAGGCTGTGAGCCCCAGGAGCCCTTCCTGCTGCTAAGGCTCTGAAACAGGCAAGCAGGCAGAAAGGAACACACGCAGAGAAAGCAGTGACGCCTGCTGGGTGCCTGGGACATAGACAAGAAAACTCCCTGTAGACACAGGGAGCAGAGGAAGGGTCTGAAGCAGAAGCGGGCAGGTACAGAAGCTGGCCGGTCCTCCGAAGAGACAAAGACCCACAGCCAGAGTGACACGTGCGTGGGCAGAGCTTCCCCTATGGCAAGAACCCCCTCCTACACACTGATGCTAGACAGGTAAAAAAACAGAAAGGGACCTTCGTTTGCTGAAAACATTGTATTCTGGCCATCTTATGGGAGCAGCTCTGCCAACCTAGGAACCACGCCAGGTCCAGACACTGGCCTACAAGCATCAGAGGAGAAACCACAGGAGAACCAGTACCGTGCCATCTAAGGGCCTCAAAAAACGGACCAATCAGCTCCACTTGGTGGTCCAGCATAGTGAAACTTGGCTTTGCAGCCAGCCAGAGCTCAGAACCAGTACCTGTTTTTTCACTTACCAACAACATAAAACCATGCAAAAGCAACTTAAACCGTTAAGATTTGGTTTTCTCTTCTTTAAACGAGGGGTCACATCTACTCCACCCAGGTGTTGTGTGGCAGAATGACGTGGGGAAAGTACCTTTTCCTGCCCTTGCCCTACTCTGAAACCGTCTCTATGTAAGTGGAAGACTTTCCTCTCTACGCATGCAATTTTACAATCGCAAGTATTGTTTACTGGACACCTGGTGTAAGCCAAGCCACATGCCACACACTTTACATGTTACCCCATTTAATCTCAGCTCTGCCTCTGACCAGCTGAGACCTGAGAAAGCTTTTAACTTTTCTGAGCCCTCAGTTTCCTCCCCAGTAGAAGTGGAAATCATTTTGGCCTTACAGGGAGAGTTGTTACAAGGATCCACTTAGTACAATCATGCTAAGAGTTTAGCAAAGAGCCCGGCACACAGCGCTCAGTTTAACTACATCTATCATTACTATAATCCTTATTAATATTCTCAAAGTCTACTGACAAGGGAATAACAATAATCAGTCTACAAATGGGGGAAAAAAAACGAAGACGCAAACATATTAAAAGTAGCTACTAAACAATGCAACGGATATCTAAACCCCTAGTGTGTTCAACTCCAAGGCCTATGCTATTGAGCAGTCCATCACTGAAGACAGAGTCAGACACTCAGTAAACGTTATTTCTTCCCCAGGGCACTGTTTCCTAATCCAGCCCCTATCCAACTCTAGCCCGGGTTCAAAGGAAAATTCCTTAACCCTCATTTCGTCCTCTGAACCCGCTACGAACGCTAGGAACACGGGCAGCTGAAGCCTCACAAGAAAACAAGTCCCCAACCTTCCTTGGTCCTCTATTTCTTCACTCTAACTGAAACATGGAAGATTTTTAAAACGTCTAACAACTCTCCCACTTCGAATATTCTAAGAATCCCTAAAATCAGTAGGACCCATCGCTTTGTTCCAACGCATCACAATTCTCCGTACCCTGAAGGGAAACTGCCTCCCACCTTCCCCGTAAGTGGAAAGTTTAGCACGGTGGGCCAGATCCTCCTTTCCTCAGAACCTCCGTTTTCTTCTCTATATTGGGATTTGAGACTGAGTATAGGGGCCCTGAGTTTGGGATTGCACATAATTTGGGGTTTATCTCAAACACTCCGTATCGCGACTCTCGGGACCGCTAAAAGCCCCGCGTATGCAGCATGCATGCGTGTCGACACTCAAAGAACGCAGACACTTCTCCTCTTTTACAAGAGAATACGAGGAAATATGAGGCCAACTCGTTAATATAAGGCGCCCCACGACCAGCAGCTGGGGCAGAAACAAGCTGGCCGGAGAGGTCAAAGCAAATCAACAAAAAGGAAAAGGGGTACGAGAGGGGCCCGGGGCCTCTAAGCGTCCCCCGAAACCGCTCTGTCCTCATCCACGTGAACGAGGGAAAAGGGGCACCCCCCCGGTTCTCACAACCGCCATTTTGGAAACAAAGGGGGCGTGGAGACGAGGCCGTGGGCCAGACCGGAAGCGGAAGTGCCAAGGCAGCGGGAGAAAATGATGGGATTACGGGGCCTAATATAATCTCCTTTTAAGATAAAATAAAAAGATCTTAAAAAACAAAAGTTCATGTCGAGCCACCTGGCGCGCTCGCACCGCGTTCCCCGCGCCACCTCCGCCAAGACCACGTGGGGCGCGGGGACAGCAGCCGCACGCATGCGTCACGGGCCCGCGCCCCGCCGCCCCCTTCGCCTCACGGTGCGCGCGGCAGAACGCCGAGAACGTCACGTGAACGAGGCGCGCGCCACGGAACCGGGGTGGGGGGGCGCCGCGCAGCCGTCAGAGGTGGGGGGGAAGAGAGGGAGAAAATGGCGGGGGACAAACAGCGACGCGAACAGCCGCCCACACTTCAGCCCCGCGACCCCGGCGCCCTCACCTTGTTTATTCTCGTTGAGCTGCCGCTCGAACTCGTCGAAGTCCGACATGCTGAGGCGGCCGCGTAGGGCCCTGTGCAGCTCTCGCCTTGCCTTGCCGCCCGCTCCGGCCGCTTCGGCTACTTCCGCCGCTGGCCTCGGCTACTTCCGGCCGCCGCCGGCGCTTCGCCACCTCCTACCTAATCAAGCCTCCGGCAGCCCGCCCCACCCCGCCCGGGCTCCGCCCCCTCGCCCGCCCGCCCGCCCGCCCGCGAGTTTACCCCTCCCCCCGAGCCTGGCTCCGAAACGAGTCGGCTATTTTCGGACACTGGACGAAGGAGTGGCAGGCGGCAGCTTCGGCTCCTTCCGAAAATGCCCGAAGCTAGGTTTTCGCCGACTTCCTAGGTTTCCGTAACTTTTCGGAGATTAGCTCCTCAACGTTCGGAGGTTTCCGTGTGTCCTCGTGTTCCGCCGCGCCCAGCCCCCTCTGAGAGTTTGGCTTCTTCCAACAATTCAATCCGTCTCAGTCTTTGGCTTCTTCCACGGACTTGCTCGGCTCCTCTCTGTCCAAGCAATCGGCCACTTTCGAGAATCGTAACGGTCCGGCCCTTCGGCTCTTTCCGGAGCTCGCCCTTGGGATTAATCCCCTTCTGGGATTAAGCTCAATTCCAAGTTTCGGCTCTTTCCGGGGATGCCACTCGCTCACTCCTCCAGTCAGACAACTTCGGCTCCTTCCGCCACCGCTTCGTGAAGGCCTCACTCTCGGGGGACAGCTTCGGCTTTTTCCGTTGGTGCCTCGGCTCCTTCCGGCTTCGGGAACGGAAAAGGGAGGGAGGATAGAGGCGAGGAGGGTCAGGGAAAGAGATACGGAGGAGGGTGCGAGGTCAGGGTTCTCGGCACCTGCCTCTCCGAGTGGGGAAAGTGAAAGAAAAAAAGAGCTGGCCTCGCGGAGGGCCTGAGAAGGTTGCGCGAGACAAAAGCAGCCAGAGGAGTAAAGGGTGCGCGCGACCGCTGCGGAGGTTGCCAGCGCGGCTTTTTGCGCCTGCGCAGGGTGGAAGCGGCGGGTGGGGGGAAACGGGCTTCTGCGCCTGCGTGAGTCGTTCTGCGGCGTGCTCTCCCACTGCTCGGGTGGAGGGCGTTGCGGGGAACAGATTCCAGACTCCCCATTGCGCGTGTGCGAGACTTTCCTTTCCTAGAGTGAAAGTGCTTAATCCCCAACCGTTAAATCCGGCCGCCCTCTTGGTTGTCTTGGCAACCGCATCAACGCGCTCCGGCCCCGCCCTCCGCGCAGGCGCAGGGGACCGATGATCGCGCATTACTTCCTGGAGATGGATAATCTCACATTACTGCCCCCTGGCGGCCCAACGGAAGTATCCTCCAGGCTTCGCCTGGCCCCCAGGTGGCCTCCAGCGCTAAAGGTCATCGAGTCCCGCCGCGATCTGGTCCGGGTAGCTCAGCGGATAGTATCCATGCTGCATGTGTGTGTGTGTGTGAGACGGAATTTCGCTGTTGTCGCCCAGGCTGGAGTGCAACGGCGCGATCTCGGCGAAACGCAACCTCCGCCTCCCGGGTTCAAGCGATTCCCGTGCCTTAGCCTCCTGAGTACCTGGGATTACAGACTTGCGACACCACACCCGGCTAATTTTTGTGTTTTTAGTAGAGACGGGGTTTTTCCATGTTGGTCAGGCTGGTCTTGAACTCCTGACCTCAGGTGATCCGCTCGCCTCGACCTCCCGAAGTGCTGGGATTACAGGCATGAGCCGCCATGCCCAGCTGTGTCCGCGCTGCTTTTCCCGAGCACTGCCTCAAAGTTTTCTGGGGCACAGCTTCTTTCTCCATCTCTGCCTCCAGGGGGCTAATTACACCCCGTCTTCCCCGGCCTCCCGCCTGACCGCCCACCACGCTGGATGCCCCCGCAACCCAGTCATTGTCTTCAGGGCGATGGCCATCCCCTCCCAGGCACATCCCCCTCCTAGGAAGAGGCTGGAGCCCAGTTTATTCCAAATTTTCACGTCTTTTTTTAATTTAAAGTCTCTGAGTAATTCTCTGTCGCGCGGAGTTGGGAGGTCCGTCCGGGAATCGGGTGGGCAGCTCCTCCGCGGGGCAGCGGGGCAGGGAGCAGAGACGGGGTCTGTATAGTCCCCCACCCGAGACGGGGCGGCACCCGCCTGCCTGGTTCTGCAGGAGGAAGGCGCCCGGCGAGGGCAGGGCTGGGCAGCCCCAGCAGAAAGGGGTGCGCCGGCGTTCGGGAGAGGGACCCGGCTAAGGGAGCCTTCAACCCAGGGAGCGAGGAGGAGGGATAGGGCGCGGCGGGGAGAGGGGCGGGTCATCCACCGGGGGCTTGGGGAGGGCCGGGTCCACGGGGGAGGGAGGCCCGGGCCGGGGCGCGGAGACGCGGCGCGATCACCGCTTGAAGCGGTAGGTGATGGGCAGCAGCAGCTTGCTCTTCTTGAGCGCCTGCACCTTCTTGAGAGTCTCGTCGTCCAGGGCCAGGAAGCAGCGGCGGGAGTACTCGAGCAGGCGCTCCTTGGAGGGGTCGAACTCGCCCACCTCAGCCAGCTTCTCGGGGGCCACGATGAGCAGCTCGGCGATGGGCGTGGTCAGCGCCACGGTGTTCCTGTCCACGCGGTGGTGCTCGAAGGCCCGCGACATGCTCTTGAGCTTCTGGAAGGTGCCCAGGATCTTCTTGTACCGGCAGAGAACCCCATCAGCGTCCTTCACTGCGGGGGGAGGCGGGGACACGGAAGTGAGGGGCAGGGGGCAAAGCACAGGGGGCGGACACGGAAAGGGAAACGGCCATGGGAAGGAAGGATCCCGGCGGTAGAGGCATGGGCCGGTGTAGAACAGGAGGCCGAAGAGAGGAGGGGAAAAGTGCATCCAGAGTTTGGACCAGTGGAAAGTGGGAAGAGGCAGGCCCAGGGAGGAGGGTGAGGAGAGAAAATGAGTCGCGAGACTGAGTTAAACCGACAGGGTCCCAGGCCCGGGCGGCGCCCTCACCCTCTGCTCCCTGCCTCAGGTGAATTCAACTTAAGCCTCACGCTCCCCGTGAGACAGGTCCTCCAGCAGGCCTCTTTCTCACTGATGGTTAAAGAGGTGCCCAAGGTATGCGAAGGTGGACCAAAACTTAAAGAAAGTAAACCCAGGGCAGGCCCCGTAGTGTGGCTCACGCCTGTAATCCCACCACTTTGGGAAACCGAGGCAGGCGGATCACTTGAGGTTAGGAGTTCAAGAGCAGCCTGGCCAACATGGTCAAACCCTGTCTCTACCAAAAATACAAAAATTCGCCGGGCACCATGACGCACCTCTGTAGTCCCAGCTACTTGGGAGGCTGAAGCAGGAGAATCACTTGAACCTGGGAGGCAGAGGTTGCAGTGAGCCAAGATCACACCACTGCACTCCAGCCTTAGCAACAAAGCGAGACTCCCTCTCAAAAAAATAAATAAATAAACTGAGGACCACACGTGAAGGGGAGAGAGAAAAAACCTGGTGGGTCTTTCTCCAGCAAGGTGTAGGGGTTTGGGGAGAAAGGAGGGCCTCTGGGAAGGTCACACAGCAATTCAGCAGCCCAAGACCTCAGCGCCCACCCCATGCACCCCACTCACCCCGCTGCCTCTCCCGGGCCTTGGGCTTCCCAAAGCGCCTCCGACTGGCACCTCCCTTCTGCTTCTGCCGCCTCTTCTCGCTGGCACTGCCTTCTTCCGACGCTCCGCTAAGGGAAGAGGCTGCTGATTCGGGGTCTGAGGCTTCGCACCCAGCTCCGCCCCGGCTGTCCCCCTCAATCCGCCGTGGCCCAGGCTTCACCCGGCAGTGGTCCTCTGGAGAGAGAGACACACAATGAGCTACCAGACCAGAAACCCCATCACAGGTCCCGGGACTGACAGAGGCTGCAGTCCCCAAAACTGGATCAGGTGGTCACAGGTGGAGCATTCTCTCAGAGGCGTGGGTTGGTCACAGGTCTTGGGGAAGCACCCAGAACCAAGGGCCTCAGGACCCCTGTGACTGTGTGTGCTTCCCATGGAGGAGGGACTGGATCTGGAAGCCCAGGAGGCAGGCAAGGCCTTGGCTGGAGTCAGGGGGTTCACACCCTGAGAGAAATCAGGGGCCCTGGGTCCAGCAGGCTGGTTCCCACCTCTACCCAGATACAAGGTCCTCTAGAAGGTGGGTTAGGGGAGGGGTCTGGTGCAAGGGTCCCCACTGGGAAAGTGCTGGGGTCGCAGGGCCCAACCGTCTGTGCAAAGGAGTCAGAAACCCAGGATGGACCCCTCAGCGGAAGGAGACAGTGGCAGGCAGTTTGCTCCAGAGCACAGGGAATGTCAGATTCCACAGGCCCCTAGCCCAAGCTTTTGGGGGAAATGGTTAAATTCACAGAGAGATGTGGGAACTTTTGAGGGGTCTTCCCAGCCAGGGAGCTACCAAGGCGGAGCTGAGGGTAGGTAAGGTAGAGTGTGGGTTCTCTGGGACATGGGCTAAGGGTCTGGGGCAAAGGACCTGACCATCTGGAGAAAAGGGTGGGGCTGGGCTTCCGAATGTATGAAGCAGGGCACAGGGTCCCAGTGGTCAAGAGAAGATGCTAGCTGTGAGCTGGCTGGGGCGGTGGGCTGCTTCTGGCCATGAATTAGAGGAAGGGACATGGGTGAGGACTACCTGGGAACCTGGGGCAGGGTCTGGGGGACAACACATGCTGAGGTCCCCACCCGAAGAGCCCCACTAAGGGACTTAATTTCTTTGATGGGGAAGGAGGGCTCATTAACCAAGGATGGGACACAGTGGGTGGGAAGACAGCCCCTGGTGTCACACAGGGGAGGGGACAGAAGAGGCTAGATGGCTGGACTCCTGGATCTCAGAGAAGACAGGCCTGGGAAGAGACGCGGGGACCCCCGAGGACACCCAGAGGACTAGGATGGGCCTCTCAGCCAAAGAGAAGAAGGAACATTCCCCTAGGAGTCAGGAAGAGAGAAGCTCTCAGGTCCCAGAGTCCCTAAAAGCACCCAGGGCTGGGAAACATGGCAGGGCACTTGAGGCTGATGGAATTCGGGGAGCTGCCTGAGAAGGCAGGAGGGGCCCCAGGAGATAGTTCGTGGGGATGAGGCCTTGGAGGCCAAGCAAGAAGGAAGCTGGGCTTGAGGCCCAGAAACAGGCAGGGAGCTAGCAGAGATGGCCAACATGGCAGGTCCCACACAGCCAGTCAAACAGTGGAGCCTGGAGCCTGGGTGAGCGGGTGCCCAGGAGCGGGACAGGGAGGTGATGGGCCCAGTGTGCCCCACAAACACACCTGCATCCATCCGAGCAGAAGAGATGAACTTGTCCAGCTGGCAGCGCAGGAAGTCCCTCTCTTCCTCCAGGTCCTCAATGCGCTTCTGCAGCCAGGAGTTCCTCTCCAGGGCCATGTGCAGCTGGGCCTTGACACTGTTCATCAGGGCCAGGGTAGGGGACGTGTCCTCAGGGGGCTCTAGGGACACAGCAAGGGTGGGGCCCAGGTCACACCTTGGGACTCAGGGCCTGGCTTCCCAGCTGGCTCCAATCCCTCCTCGCCCCCTCAGCTCACCCTCGAAGTTTCCCCGAGAGGGGCTCAGACTGTAAAAGATCTGTGAGTCTAGGTGGGGCGCCTCGTCGAAGGGGATGGAGATCTCGAAAGCCTCATCGTCCTTCACTGGAGAGGAGAGGCCCTGGGTCACCCCAGAGAAGTCCCCAAGCCCCTCAGCCCACCCCCCAACCACGGCAGCCTGGAGCCAACCGCACTGGGACCCAGGGTAGGGAAGGGGACCCAGCTTCCTCACTTGTCCGCCTCCGGCTGGTCCGGTCATTCATGGCGTGGCTTCCTGCGGACCCCAGCAGCCGAGCGCCTCAGAGGCACTGGACAGAAACAGCAGCCACAAATGGAGGGACGCGGACGGACTCGAGGGTCCATCCTGGGGGAGGTGAGATGAGAGAGGAGGGAACCCTGGTCTGAGGGAGGAGGGAGCCCGGACCCCAGCACTGAGGCCAAACACGCCCAGGTTCAAACTCCTGGGCTCCCAGAGACGGGCAGGAGGCCCAGCCGCCTAGGTCCTGGGGAAGAAGTGAGCTGGGGACGTGGGCTCCCAGCCATGGAAGGAAGAGGAAGCTGAAGCCCTAAATTGCTGGGTGCCCCAAGGGGTCACCTGAGCAGGGACACATGGCCTGCAGGGCAAGAACCCTGGCTCATCGCGGGCCACCTCCGGGCCTAAGCAAGAGGCAGGTGCAAGGGAAAACTGCCCCAACTTCCCAAGATAGAGGGAGGTCCGGCCCGTGCGCTCCGCCTCCCCTACCCCCGGGGCCCCATATCCCTCCCCCGCACTCGCGTGGGCGGACGAACCCTCCCGGCGGTGGGGGCTGGGCGCGTGCGCAGTACGGGGAAAGGTCACGCGTGGGGATGCGCCCCCTCCCGCCCCCGCCCTTTGTCCCGCGAGTGGGAGGGGGAGCAGTCGTGGAAAGATCCCAGCGGGGGCATGAACCAGGCCAGGGTTGCAAACGCGGCCACCATCCCCCGACCGTGGATGCCTGGGGTCCGGGGCCCCCCAAGCTCACCCACCCGCGCGCGGAATCCGGCTCGGGGACCGACGGCGGCGGCGCCCATGCCCGGCGCCGGGGAGCGTCTGCAAAGTGACACGGGGAGCCGAGGGAAGCGCGCACTCACCCACGAACAGGGGGGGCTGCAGGGTAGCGAGTCGTGGAACTGAGCGATGGAACGGACAGGGACGGGGGGACTCGCCCCGTCGGGCTAGGCCTGCGCTTCTCGTTCGAGAGTCCCTGGGTCCAGGTGAGGCCTGTCGTTTGCGGCAGAAGCAGGGGGATGCACTTGTGCGATGGTCCCTTACAGCACTCCCCCGCCCTCCCCAAAGCTCAGGCAGGGAACGTCACGAAATTCCCATCCAGGAGAGCTGGCGAGTCTCCGGGGGTCCCCGCGTTCGGTGGCGCTGTGCCCAGTGGGCCCGAGAGAAGGCAGGAGAGTTGGAGCGAAAGAATCTACTTTTAACGATTCCTCTGGAACTAGCCAGCGCGGACCCCCACAGAGCCCCCGCCTCCCACAGCCAGACTCCAAGGTTCCCAGGGATGTGGGGGCCAAAATGGGGGAAGTTACCCCTCTACCGGAAAACGAGGGCCAGGAGCACGCCACCCCCACCCCCACCCCCATGTTGGTAATTAAGAGCTGGCTTTGGAGCAGAGCTACATTCCAGTCCTGACTGTTCCTGCCCCTCCCCAGCCTGTTAACTCACCTGTAAAATGGGGACATTACAAGCCCTAAATTTCTTGCCAGGATGCGGTGCTGTGACAGGCAGAAGCTCAGCCCAGCAGCTGGCCATAGTCAGCGCTGAAGAGAGGGGTGCTGCTAGTATTGAAGTCGGATGATGGGGTGTGATCGCAGCCTCTGTGAGGCTCTTTCCCACTTCGGGGAGTTCGAACGGGAGATTTGTTCTTCCTCCCAAGGAAGTGGTCGGAAGAACAAACAAGGCCTAGCACAGTGCCTGGCACAAAACAGGCAAGGAAAGTGAGCTAATAAACAGATGGTTATTAAGCTTCAGGCTCAGCTCCACCTGCCTCTCCTGTTCACCAGAAGCATCCGGCCAGCCCTTATGAAAGCAAGGTCTTAACTCGATAATCTAAATGTCTGCACCCCCTTGCAAAGCTGTGACCATGATCTTCCCCTCCCTTTACAGATAAACTGCAGCCTGGTCCAAAAATTCCTGGACGAGCCACCTGCTCTAGATTGGTCTTTTCCAAAGTACAAGATCATGGGTGGAGAATTCAAAATAGGATGGAATCAGCAGTTTAAAAAAATAATTAGCCGGATGTGGTGGCACACACCCATAATCCCAGCTACTCAGGAGGCTGAGGCAAGAGAACTGCCTTCACCCGTGAGGCAGAGGTTGCAGCGGGCCAAGATGGCACCACTGCACTCCAGCCTGGGTGACAGAGCAAGACTCTGTCTCAAAAAATAATAATGCTTGATTAAAAAAAATCTGCACATACTAAAGCTAACTATGGTAAAGAAATGTTTGTCTTGAGGCCCAGTGCCGTGGCTCACACCTGTAATTCAGCACTTTGGGAGACGGAGGCGTGTGAATCACCCAACGTCAGGAGTTCAAGGCCCATCTGGCTAACATGGTGAAACCCCATCTTTGCTAAAAGTGCAAAATTAGCCGGGCATGGTGATCCACACTTGTAATCCCAGCTACCTGGGAAACTGAGGTAGGAGAATCACTTGAACCCAGGAGGTGCAGTTTGCAGTGAGCTGAGACCATGCCATTGCACTCACTCCAGAGCAAACACTTAAAAAAAAAAAAAAAAAATTAAAAAAAAAGGCCTGTAATCCCAGCACTTTGGGAGGCTGAGGCAGGCAGATCACAAGGTCAGGAGCTCCAAGACCAGCATGGCTAATATGGTAAAACCCTGTCTCTACTGTAATCCCAGCTACCTGAGAGGCTGAGACAGAAGAACTGCTCGAACCCGGGAGGTGGAGGTTGCAGTGAGCCGAAATTGTGCCACTGCACTCCAGCCTGGGCAACAGAGCGAGACTCCATCTCAAAAAAAAAAACAAACTTGTTTCACATATATTTTGTGTATCTGTGTACTCCATTGCCATATAAAATCTGTTAGTTTTAAAATTTAAGTTTAAAAATATTCTTTCCAGATGACACAGGTCTTCAAGAGCTGAGGCAGGGTTAACCCCAGAGTACGCCAACCTTCCTATTCCCCAGCCAGGCGAGCTGTCTCCCTGCTAGGCGGCCACAAAAGAGGGTCTGAGATGCCGTCTCTAGAAACAAACCTCAAGTGCTCAGAGTGGGAAATGTGTTTATTGTTTGATCAGTCTCAGGCCTGGTTGGGGGTGTAAGGCAGAATGGGGGGGTCCCTTCCCCAACAGCAGCACAGGCCACAGGAAGATGGCACAGATTCCTGATGACCCCAGCCATCTTTTATGAGGCCAGAGGATTTCCACTTTCCCAACCCCCATCCAGTCAAGGCTCTGCCACGGAATAGCTGATCTCTTTAGGCTAGAGGACTCCACTCTGCGTGGGGTTCATTCCCATCTCAGCTCCAAAACACGGAGGACCTGAAGACTACTCACGGATTCCTCCTTCGGGCAGGGCTCTGCCTTTGAGATGCGGCTGCTCTGTGTCTGTCCAGGGCCCTGAACGCCAGCCTCAGGCTCTCACCAGGTGTCTGGACAGGAGTCCAGGCTCCCTGCAAAGTCCTGTGGTACCTGGGGCACCCAGCCACCCGGCTCACGGATGCTTCCACCGCGTGTGTTTCTGCAGTGTGTTCTGCTCCATAAAGCGGCGAGGGCAGTGTGGACACTGGAACGGGCGTTCCCCGGAGTGCACCCGGCTGTGCTGGGCCAGCTCACCCGCATCCCGGAAGCGGCGAGGGCAGAGCGGGCACCCGTGGGGCCGCCCACCACCCGCGCGGTGAATGGAGATGTGCCGTGCCAAGTGGCTGGCCCGCTTGAAAGCCTTCCCACAGGTGTCGCACTTGAAGGGCTTCACCTCCGAGTGGGTGATGCTGTGTCGCTGAAGGTACGACATGTACTCGAAGACCCTGGAGCACACTGGGCAGCTGTAGCACTTTTTCTGGCCTGAAGCCCCATTGGCCCCCGGCTCCCTCTTCGACTCCTCGTCCACCAGCACAGTGTAGGGGACACCCTGAGTGTCAATGAGCAGGTAGTGGTTGGGCTTTGGAGGGGATGAAGTCTGTGGAGCTCCGATGGAGGAGGAAGGTCCAGGTTCCGGGGAGCGGCATGTCCGACGGGGAGGGCCCTCCATGGTCTCAACGGAGGAAAATGCCAGGGGCTGAGGGCAGCGGGATGGCAGCACCAGCATCCGGAGGGGTGGCTGAGGCCTGGCGTATGGGAAACAGGATAGGAAGGTTATACAGAAGAGGGCAGCTCAGCACCGTAGGCTCCGTCCTTTTCTCTCCCTATACCCGCCCCAGGACTTCTGCAGCCCCTGGCCCCTCAGTCCCTCCTCTCCAGTCCCACTCACAGCTGGACTCTGTGGCCCCCCGAAAAGTTCCCAATCTCCCTCGTTGGAAAACCTTTTCCAGCCTCGGTGCACCACCACCCACTGTACTCACAGGACTTCTTGACCTGCTCTGCACAACCTGGACCTCGCTCTAACTTTCCCCTTTGTGCCCTCCCAGGTCACTGGGTGCCCCACTCCGCAGGCCTCAAGGCCTCTCTCTCCCCTCTTTCTGGCTCCTTACAGGGTCTCCGTGTTGGCCCATCCTACATACTCCACTCAAGCCTTTCCTGCCCCCTCCATACAAGCCAAACCTACTCACAGGGGCTGCGAGTTAGGTCCTCCAGGTTCTGGGTCCCCCTCCAGGCACGTGCCTGGAGAACTCTGTGCCCCCGCCCCCGCCCCGTCCAACCACCTCGGGTTCTCGCTAGTCCTCGCCCGGCCACCACCAGGCTCGTTCTAGGTCCCAGCACTCTCCAGGTTTCCACCCCCAGGGCCGCAGCTCTCGCCTTCTGGGCCTTTCAATGTAAGTTCCCGACTCCTGAAAGCCCCAGAACAGCCCCCTCCGGTGCCTGCCCCACCTCCGCCCGGGCCCAGGTACCCTCCACGCGGCCCCGGCCCTCCCGCCGCCCGCTCGCAGCCCCCTCTCTCTTCCCGGCCCCCGTACCCAGTGCAGCAGCCTCTCAGGTCCGGGCGACTCCAAGTGGCCCCGGGCTACCCTCGCAGTTGCAGGCGGCGGCGGGAAGGGGACTTCTGGGTGTGCCCCAGGAGCAGACGGCGCCGGCCGAGAGAGAGGAGCCGAAGAGAGGAGAGGGTCTAGAGAAGGAAGTTGGGGGCGGGGCGCCGAGGCCATCGCGAAACGGCTCCGGCCAGAAACACACACCCAGAAGAAGGTTCCTAAGCAAGGAAGGTCCGGTCTCCACCCCCCAGCACCCAAGGCGCACGCACACGCAAGTAAGACCCTGAAAATGGAGTGCGGAATGTTTATTGAGCAAAGGGTAGGGAGCGTGGGCGGAAGGGGGGTAGGTACAGAAATGAACCAGACCGTGCCCGTGCTCTTTATCATCTCTTCCCCGCTGACAGCCACCGGCTCACCGCTCCAGAGGGCAGGAAACCAAGGCTTAAAGGTCACGTCACTTGCAAAAGTTCACACAGCACAGCTGGACCGGAACCCAGTTCCGACTGGTTCCCGGGTCCAGGGAGGGGCAACGACTTTGGTCTACATCACACAGCTAGAAAGGGGATAAGGAAAGAATGACGCGCCTCCCTTTGGAAGGTGGGGAAACTGAGGCCCGGGGTAAGGCAGTAACCTCAGCAGAGCCAGGGAGTGTGTGTGGGAGTGAGTGACGCTGTGTGGGTCAGACTTGGTGGCCCTGAGAGGGCCAGGGCAGCACAGGCCGGGTCTCGAGCTTAGTGGAGGCGCACGTGCTGCGCCAGCTCCGCGGCGTCCTGGAAGCGGCGTGGGCAGAGAGGGCAGGTGTGCGGCGGCCCGGCGCGGGCGCGGTGCGTGGCGCGATGCCGCGACAGGTGGCTGGAGCGCTTGAAGGCCTTGCCGCAGGCGCCGCACGTGAAGGGCTTGAGGTCCGAGTGCGACACGCGGTGGCTCTGCAGCCGCAGAGGGCTGGCAAAGACACGGGCGCACTCGGGGCAGCTGTAGCCCTTGCGAGGGCCGGGCTCTCCTGGGGGCGCCTCGCGCTGGGGCGGGCCCCGGGGCTCCTCCTCCAGCTGCACCGTGTATGTGTAGGGGACCCCATTGGCGTCGATGAGGAGGTGGCGGCCCAGCCGCGGGGGTCGGGGCCCCGCCGCCGAGGAAGGCGTGGAGGAGGGGCCTTCCGCCTTGGGAAAAGGGGGAGCCTTGGGGGGCGGTGGGTCCATGGCCTCCGGAGAGGAGGACCGAGGGTGGGGTGGCCGCGGCGGCAGCAGCAGCATCTGGAGCGGCAGCTGGGAGCGGCGGAGGGGAGATTAGTTAAAATTGCCACTTCCTTTAAGGAAAAGCTCCCTAAAATGGAAAGCGTTCCCACTATCACTGCTTGTTACCATTTATGCGCCATTTACCACCTCCCCAGTAAAATAAAAACTCTTGACTCCAGCCCAGCTCTCCCACGTTCCATCAGCCTGCCTCGGAGAGGGCCTCCAACTGAGCTCGGCAAAACCGTGCCACCGCCTGCTGTTCCTCCAGGGCCCACCTCTCAGCACCCAGGTCAAGTCTGAGGGCGTGGCCCCCGATTTTTCTTCCCTTTTCTCCTCTCAATCCACCCTAGCAGACAATCAATCCTCCAGTCTGTTTACCTCTTTTATGTCTCACAGCCCGGCCCTCCTGACCTCCGGGATTTCTCTAATCTGTGTTTTCTTCTTCCTCTGTTGCCCAGCCCCAGTTCAGGTTGCTTCCCCTCCCTCTGTCCCCCCACCCCACCCCCACGGGCCCCGCATCAGCCTCCGCGCCCTCCTGGGGCTCCATCCCCGCTACATGCCGCAGGGCCTCCCCATCTTCAGATTCCGTGGCCTCCCTCACTTCCTTTCTAGGTGCCTCCCCAGAGCCCCACTAACCCAATTCCCTACATTTCACTAGGGCTCCTCCATTCTGCTCCTACACTTAGCACCTCGAAGTCTAGCCACCTCTCCCCACTACGGAACCCATCGTCTCATCCATCTATAAAGAACCCCGAAGATGCCTCAAAGGCCTGCCTTATGTATACCCCGTCCCCTCAACCTGGCTACCTGCTACGTTCTCCCCAAGAGCCCCCCTTTCTCCCCCGCCCCTACAGACGACGGTGACATCGTGACTTCTTTCTATACCCATCAGGGGGCTTCTCCCAGACCCAGTTATGTGCACCAGGCCCTGGAACTCCGCTTCCCACACTACCTCTCCAAAGCCCCCCTTTCCCTCGTTTCTCTGTACATCTGGCATCTCATTCTTCTCTTCACCTCTTCCAGGAGCCCCATCCCTCTCCCCGTTACACACAGCATGGTCCCATCCCTGTTCTTTCGCTCTGCTCCCCTTGTTTCTGGGAACCCCGGCGCCTGGGCGTTTTCGCCCCCAACCCGCTACACCGCCCCCCCCCGACCCTGGGGCCCCTCTTTTTCCCCTCACTTCTCGGCCCCCGTACCCCGTGCGGCGGCCTCTCGGGTCCTGAGGAGCGGGCCGAGGTCCCGGGCTGCCCCGGGCTTCCCCTGGCGAGCGCCGGCGGCTGAACCGAGACTTCCGGGCAGCTCCGGCCGGCGGCGCCGGGGACGCGGGGACTGGGGGCGCGGGCGCGGGGGTGCGAGGGGCGGCGGCGTCCCTGGGAAAAGGCGCCGGCCGGAAGCGCGCGAGCCCCGCGCAGAGGTTCCGCCGCCTGGAGCCGGCGCTCCCACCCCCCGCCTCTGTGGAGCGCCCTGCGGGAAGGGGACCCGAGGCGGGGGGGCCCACGGAAGACGCCCGCCCCCGGCGGCCCAGCTCCCCTCAAGCCTCCCGACCTTAACAGTTCGGCCGCTTTGACAGAGATCGGCCAATAAACTGATACTAAGCAAAGTTAAGTCTTGGCCCGCAGGCCCACAAGGGTTTGTCCTCTTTCCACTGGGTGGTAGCTCCCTGATCCGCCGTGGCCACCCACCGAGGCAGAGGGCGGGAGAAGGGATGTTCCTGCCGGCTGAGCAAATGGGGAGACCGAGGTCCAGAGGCCAGCCATTCACTGGCTCCGATGTGGCACGGGCCTGATTCTCCATCCAGCAAATGGGGAGACCGAGGCCCAGAAGGCCAGACACTGCCAGATAGAGTTTGGGAAGGTGTGTGCTTCTCACAGGCACATGCGGGAACTGAGGCCACAGAGGACCAGACTGCTGAATATGCAGGTGGGGAAGTGTGAGGTTTCCAGAAGTCACGTGGGGACACCGAGGCGCAGCGAAGGCGGAGGTAGGAAACGCTGGCAGTGCCCCCCCGGAGAACCGTTGGAAGCCTGGGCTCTGGCTGCGCACACGAAGGACTTGGGCGTCCAGAGCAACCGCGGAGCCGCTGCAGCCGCACTAGGAGCCGCACACACGGTCGGCACTAGGGGCAGCTGCCGCTCACGTCCGGCTGCCAGTAGCGCCCGCAGCTCCTCCTCCAGCCACGTGGCGCCTCGGCCTCGCAGGACGGCGGCAGCAGCAGCATATGCAGGTGCAGCTGGGAGTGGGGGACAGAAGGGGAGTTACTGTAGCAGCCAGCCCCAGGACCCTGGGGGTGCCACAGCTACGTCCTAGAGCACTGTCCATCAGAACCTTCTGCAATTGTGGAAAGTTCTATGACAGTCACTAGCCACGTGAGACTCTTAACACTCTTGAAATGTGGCTTGTGAGTCAGAGGACCTGAATTTTAAATTTCCCATTATCAGTCTGGTGGCTCAGGCCTGTAACCCCAGCACTTTTGGAGACCAAGGCGGGCAGATCACCTGAGGTCAGGAGTGCAAGACCAGCCTGACCAACATGATGAAACTCTTGTCTCTACTAAAAATACAAAAATTAGCTGGGCGTGGTTGTGTGCCCTGCTGTCCCAGCTACTTAGGAGGCTGAGGCAGGAGCATCACTTAAACCCAGGAGGTGGAGGTTGCAGTGAGCCAAGATTGTGCCACTACACTCCAGCCTGGGTGACATAAGACTCTGTTTCATGATAATTTCCCAACATGGTGAAACCCCATCTCTACTAAAAATACAAAAATTAGCTGGATGTGGTGGTGCACACCTGTAGTCCCAGCTACTTGGGAGGCTGGGACTGAGGCAGGAGAATTGCTTGAGCCCAGAAGGCAGAGGTTGCAGTGAGCCGAGATAGCGCCACTGCACTCCACCCTGGGCAACAGAGCAAGACTCCATCTCAAAAAAAAAAAAAAATCTAATCCCCAATGTTGGAGATGGGGCTTGGTGGGAGGCATTTGGATCATGGAGGCGGATCCTTCATGAATGGCTTGGTGCCATCTTCAAGGTGATGAGTAAGTTCTCGCCAAGTTCACATGAGATCTGGTTGTTTAAAAGAGCATGTCTGGCCAGGCACAGTGGCTCTGGTCTGTAATCCCAGCACTTTGGGAGGCCAACCAAGGTGGGCAGATCACGAGGTCAAGAGATCATGACCATTATGGGGAACATACTGAAACCCCATCTCTAATAAAAATATAAAAATTAGCTGGGCGTGGTGGTACACGCCTGTAGTCCCAGCTACTCAGGAGGCTGAGGCAGGAGAATCGCTTAAACTTGGGACACAGAAGTTTCAGTAAGTCGAGATCATACCACTGTACTCCAGGCTGGCGACGAGAGAGAGACTCCGTCTCGGGGGGAAGAAAAAAAAAAAAAAAAGAGCTTGTCACCTCCCACCAGTCTTTTGCCCCCACCATGTGATATGCCAACCACCCCTTTACCTTCCGCCGTGATTGTAAGCTTCCTGAAGCCCTCACCAGAAGCAGCTGCCAGGACCACACGTCCTGTGCAGCCTGTAGAACTGTGAGCCAACTAAATCTCTTTTCTTTATAAATTACCCAGCCTCAGGTATTCACTCATAGAGATGCAACAAAACTAACACAATTTCTCTCTTTGAGTTTCAGACCATATAACTAGTGGCATTATAGTGGTCACAACCCCCACCTGCACTGCTATCCCTGAAAATAATGACAACGATAACCAACATTTATTGAGCCCTCACTCGGGAACAGCCATCGCTAAAGCACAGCATCCTCAGGGCAGAGCTACAAGGGAAGTGCCATGAGGATCCCTATTTTACAGATGAGGGAAGCAGAGCTCAGAGAGGTGGTGTGACTGGTCTGAAGCCACACATCCGCAGACAGGATGGCCAGGACAGCACCTGCTTCTGCCTGCCCACAGTCAGTACACATGACCCTTGCAAGCAAGCCACACACTTCCCTGTAATCCCACGGTCGCTGCCGCCACGCCAGAGCAAACCACCGCCATTTACCCCGGCTTACAGCAGCAACAGTCTCCCCCTCCAACCCTCTCCCTCCCCTCTCGATTGTTGGCTTTTTTTTTTTTTTTTTTTATTTTGAGATGGAGTCTCACTCTGTCACCC